CATAGCTTAGTTAGCAAGCTTTACAATTAGGAAACCATATTTCCCTTGCAACTTTAAACCAGACATTTCTGAAAATATCTGGATTAACTACTGGCAAGATAGAAGAGTTTTAAAGATGGGAAATTGAGGGAGTTTAAAGAGAGAGAGAATGGATGGATGAGGGAAAATGTGTCGGTATAAGAACGGCACTCTCCATTCGATCCCAGCTTCCCCCTCGGTACACTTAGGTAGTGTAAATCGACTCTTTACCTGTAGAAGATGTCTCCACTGGTACGGAGTTCCATTTAACACACCCTTTCAGCGTCTCCGTAGGAACAGCTGTGAATCGTCCGAAGTAGTGACGGTATTCCGTTCGACACACGTTCACCCCACTGGTAGACTCACACGAGGAGTAAGTCCGTCAGAGTTCCACTCAGATGTGGAAGATTCCATAATTCCCACGAGACTCGGAAGAACTTCGGATCATGTCTGGAACCTCCTGTTCTCTCCAGCACTTTTTCTGTTCGGTTCTGCTCTCCGAACTGAACTGCTCTCCCACCGCACTGGTTCGAACTAGGAAGTGTCGACATTTAAAGAGTTCTGTTTCCGGTTCATTTGGGAAGTCTTGATTGGCTGAAAGAGCCAACCAGAGGTGTGTTTTTGTGACGTAAGAGGTCACTAGAAGTCAGAAAAACAGAAAATGTTTTGGAACAGACTGAAAATGTTTTTGAGACAGACAAGAGAAATGTTTAGGCGAGTTGGGAGGAAACAGGTGCCAGCTTCTCTATTTACGTCTGAGAGGATTTAAAAACATGACAGTTCGTTCCAACAAACTTGTTTGCGTTTGTCTCCGACCTTTGACCGACATCACAACTTGCTCATTTCAGACAGAAGATCAAGAAAATGAATAATTACTCTGTAACACATTCTAACTTGATTTCTACTTTGAATGAGGATTAAAAATCATTAATACTGTTTCACAGTTGATTTAAAATGAGTAGTTCACTTCAACATTTAAAAATGGTTTGAACTAAACGCACTTTGATTATCAAGACATTTGTAAAATAGTAATGATAATAAAAAGAGAGTGTTCTTTCAATTGATCAGTGCAGGACACACTTAGAAAGTCTCTGGATGAACTTAATTTTGTGTTTCTGGACTCAAATCAATGAAATATAGTTCTTGTCCCAGGAAGGCCCTCAAGGTCAGGATTTGACCTGAGGCTTAGTTCACTACAGTCCCCCCTTTGGAAATCATCGCCTGTCCATGGGGATGAATTCCAACATGAACTTACGCCTTCGAATGTCCTTGAGCTTGATGTAATCCAGCAAGGAATACAAAAGTCAAAGGAGGTAATCCCACAATGTTTTTGGTAATTCCATTGTGTTGATGGTAATTCCATAATGTTGTTGGTAATTCCATTGTAGCAATGCTTTAACCCCTTGGAAACAGAGTCTGTAATCCATTGGAAAAAGTCATATAATCCACAACGGTAAATCCACAACGAATGGAGGTGTTGATTGATCAGCATACAGAGGGGTTCCCTTGGATTGAATTGAAGATGCGGCCACTGGATGAAGATTGGAGACCAACGTCAGGATTGCAGGTCTCCTCCAGCGAAGGTCGTCGCTGGGTGGATGTCCAGCCTGTGCCGTCCTGGTTCAATGTGTCATGCAATTATGTGGTTTAAGGTGGGCTTATGAAGGGATTTTACATAAGGCCTTAACCTATATGCACCTGGTGTGTAAGCTATTATGATTGGGAACAGCTACAGCTACCAGTTAAGGGGTGGAGCATGCTGAAAAGGGTAGTTATAGGGGTTTATACCTATAGAAGGGCATTCCAAACTATTTTTCCATTCCTAACTTGGTTTAAGTTAGCTTTACATGGCAAAATATAGTTTGGTTCAATTGTCTGTTGTCTTTTAGACGAACGACTTGAGATTGGGTGTTTGGTTTCCCCATAAATGTTTTTGGAGTCTATGGCGAGACTCATCAAAAAGAATTAGCTATCCCCCCGAATAGAATTGTTCGAGTAGGTTCGGCTTAAGCGTTGTGAGACCAATGTAGATTATGGTACTTAAGGTAGCATTAATCTACATTGACTCCGCAAAGATTACATTTTAACAAATGAACTGCATGTTGGCATAGTTAAAGGCCTCTTAGTCTCTAACTCAACTACACACAAAATTCATTCTTGCTTGGGGTGTTCAGAAACAATACCAAAAACCAATTAAACGATGTCTCAACATCGACAAAAAACAGTGACTAAGCAACCAGTAAAACAACGTTTCAACATTGACAAAAGTAGTGATTAAGCAACTAGAAAACGACGTTTCGGTGCGCCACTCACTCTGAATGTCAGATTTGATCACGTTATCGCGTCTGGTAACATTACCCTAACTGCCGTCACCCCCCTTCGGTCATGGGAGACCGCGAACACGGGTGAGGACGTCGCTCCATGAGCTAAAGTTAGGTTGTCCTTGAGTAGTTTTAACTGTTTGCGCAGCTGAAAGAGGACTTTAAGGTCTGGATTGGAATCCAGTTCGCCTTTCGATGGAGTGTATTTGTCTGGGTCAGTCAGATACAGTATCATCGAGTTAATTGCAGGATCCAACTTCTGAAGTTGGATGATGTCTGGGTCAG